TACCTCAAATAGCCAAGATGTTTGAAGCCTAATACGGCTGTTGATTTGCCACGTATGCATTGCCCTGGATTTATGCAAACCAACTGTAGTTCACTTTGTGGTTAACCCAAAGAAAAGGCTGTGGTTTTGTTTTTGTCCTTAATCTTGAAATGGGAACATAAAGTAGTTTTGCACCTGGTTGAAACTCTCTTATTTGATTATTCTGGTTTGCAATTGCTATTAATATTTTTCTTATCTGGATAAGGTTAGGGTTTGAGTTTCATATTTAATTTCAGAGGTGCTTGTGTATGTGTGTGTGTTTTGCAAAACCCTAAAAATAGTAGTATGAAGCTTTCTGAGCAATGGTTTAAATAGTAAGGTGCTCTACAATTGAATTAACTTTTGAATGATCTCTTACAAAGTATCTTTCAAAATACATCAGCAGATTTAAAAAATATTAGTTTTCTTGATTTTCTTGTGTTTATATGTGTTAAATATGAAACTATAAAGCAATAAAAAATAGTGTGCATTCTGGGAAGTCACAGTTCTATTGGAATTAACATTGAAAAAAGTAGTTAGAAACTTGACATGTAAAAGATATGTAAAAGTTATTAGGAATTTATACTAAAAATTATATGTAATTTAAAATTGCAGGATATTGAATTCAGCATTTAGTAGCTGCGTGTGAATTCTGATTACCTTGAAACGTTTGTTGCCTGGAATCCTTTCCTCAGGAAATGAATCATTAAAGAGCACTGAACTTTTTAAAATACCCGAAAGGTTGCAGTTTTCAATGCTTTTTGTATTCTTTAGCCTACTTTAATTTGTTTTTTTTGTCTTTCCTTTTCTGTTGACCATGTGTTTAGTATTCCTGGCCTCTGTTCTATTTTTCTGCTGCTGATGTGCCATGAGTTTGGAATCTAGATAATTGAGTTTAGTGAGAGGCAGTAGAATAGAGTTGGACATGGAATCAGGAATATTTTTGCTGAACTTCAAGAATTAAGAATCATACAAGTATAGGAGGAACAAGTCATATTTAAGGTATGAAAGATCAGAGTAGTCTTAGAAACTTTGCGGTAGCGATACTCAATAAATGCAAGAAGGGTGAGGAATGATATCTTCAAATTTCTGAAGGAAGGAAAATATGTCTCAGGCATATTATAACCATTCAGATTGTTCGTCAAGTGTAAGGCAAGGAATTCCATTTCCTAACCCAGGAATACCAGAGAAATAACAATACTGATACCACTCTTTTAAAATAAACAAACAAAAATAAACTACCTGAGGACAAAGTCCAGGCAACCAAGAGATGAATCATAATTAAAACTCAGTAAAGGAGAAGCCATAGAAAAGTGCTGTGCTTTGAGTCCTCTTAAGTAGAATTCTAACACTAACGACTATGGGAATTATGGTTCCAGACTAGAATACAAATGTTATAAATCTTTAAAAATCTTTGTCAGAACATTAAAATTTCTCTTTCTGATGGTTCTAAATGTACAGAGAAAATTTTAAAATAGCAATGTGACTATTTAGTATAGAATAATTCAAAATATTAGAGACTTTGAAAATTGAAGTATTATTTCTTTGCAAAAAACTCGAGAAGTTTGAACAATGCTTGCCTTGCTTGCCTTCATCTCATTGTATTACTCACTTTATAACAGAGCATGCATCTTTTCTATACCGTGGTGAATTGTCCCACCCCTTTCAAAGTTTGGATCAACTTCAAGAATTTTATCCTTTGCACTCTGTGTCATGAAATATCTCTAGAGATTCCTTTAATGAGGTTTTTGCGGGCATCATTTCCTCAGCGACATCTTTGTCCTTTATGTCACAACCACTTTCTTCATCTCTGTAGATAATTTGGCCTTCACTAAGTTCCTCTGGCTGCATTATCTAGAGTCTCTCAAATGGCAGCAGGATCAACATTCCATAGTTAGCTATTTCTTCTATAACCCCATTTAAGTTCAATTCGAATTTCACTTTTAGTGTCATCACTTTTCATTTCTTTGCTGAACTTATATCCTTGTTGGCTAATTTCCTCTTTTGATTATCCATTCTTGTAAATTGTCAAACTGTCATGTAGGATTATCACTGGGTGACAAGGAGGCAACGCAACTCCATGTTTGCTGTCTGCGTGTAAACCAAAAAATAGATACACAGTGATCAGACACTGACAGACTTTGAAAAAAGTGATGTGATTGATCACTGATCATGGGAGCCTCTGTAACTTACATAGTGATTTGTGGATTGAAGAACTAGCACCAAAGTTTGTATTTTATGCAATTTCTTGCAGTTAACATACAATGGTAACTGAAAATTGAACCGTGTTATTGAGAGTTTTTTTAACTAAATTGTGGAAACTTGTGTATAGCGAAGCCATACAAAGTGAAAACTTCCTATAATAACATAATTGACAAAAATCCTAAGTTGAGTGATGAAAAGGATGAGTATATTAATTCTATTAGTCTTGGCAGGGAGTCAGTAAATATTGTCTAAATTTGAAATACGTAAACACAGTGATCTAACCTCTAACTGTTTCTCACAATCATATTTTATTAATTTTAGAGGAATCTTTTAGGGAATCTCCCCTGGTAAAGAAAATATAAAGTTCAGCAGATCTTTCTTGTTTCTCTCCTTTTCTGTTAAGACCCACAGCCAGTAGGTGGAGATGTTCCAGTCCAGTATCGCTGAAGCAACTACCCAACTTAAAGAACCTGCTTCTCTGGCTTATGGCCATGTACGCAGGGCCAACAGCATCAACTCTCATACCCTTTGGGCATTAACATAATTCCCACCATAGCCTGTCTTTATTCCTAATGCCCATGTTGTGATCAGTGCAGCTTCATCTTCTACATTCCACTATTCACTTTTGGTACTTGAAAATTTCTTTTCTTTTCTCCAGCTCAGATATGTATTAAAAATAATTTTAAAAAATTTGTGCGCATTTCAGTGTGTTTGTAGTGGATAGGAGGGAAGATTCTTGCTTGTGCTTCATTATCATCTAAATAGAAATACTCTGTCAGTGATCATTCCTTAAAAAAAAAATTCCACTCACAATTGTATCCCAAACTGTAAAGTACCTATTAAGAAATATATGAGACCTATAGGAGGAAACTGAACTCATAAAAGAAGATCTAAATTAATATAGTGATATAGTATATTCCTAGATGGGGGCCTCAATGGGTAAAGATATCAGTTTTCCCCAAATTAGGCTCTTCTGATTAAAATTTCAGTGGAATTTTAAGGAAAGTTTAAAGTTATCCAGAAGAGTAAATTTGAAAAAGTAGCTAAGAAACTTGAAGAAAAATAATTGGGGGGAGTGAATTGCTGTACTGAGTAGCAAGGCATGTTGCAAAGACAGAATAATTAAGATAGTGGTTTTGGAGCAGGAAATAAGTCTGTAGAAACAAATAGGTCTGTAGGTCAATAGGAATAGGAAGTAGGTCTGTTGAGCAAATAGGTCTGTAGAACAAAGTAGAGGTTATAAAAATTTGTGCATGTAGATCATTTTGAACAAATAAAGCTGTATTTCAAGGAATTAGGGAAAGGATGGATTGTTTAAAAAGTGATATTTAGAAAATTGTTTTGGAGGACAAACAAGGTTACATCCCTATTTCACATCATAAACAAAATTAGATTCCAGATGGAGTAAATATCTAGACAAAAAAAAGAAAATTCTGGGAGTACTGTTTTGAGAGGTTCAAGATAGCCTTCTTAACCATGCCTGAAATCTAGAAACCATAAAGAAGGGACTGACAGATTTAACTCATATTTAAAGCTTAAAGTAAAAAGCACCATAAACAAAGTTAAAAGCCAAACAAAAGACAGGAGAAAAATACTTACTCTATATAACAAACGTTAATGTATAGGACCAATAAGACTATCAATAGAAAATGGACAAAAGGTATAAACAGACATTTCAAAAAAGAAATAGCAATGGCTAGTACAAAAAGATGTTTATCCTCACTAATAATGAAACTTGAGATACCATTTTTTATCTAGGAGATTGGCAAGGTGTAAACCATTGATCATCTCTTATGTTAGACTATTGGAAGAGTGTAAATTGGTGTCTTCAGTTTGATAGTAGCTAAAAATTAAATATCCATACCTTTGACCCATTTGGGTCTGTTTCTAGGGATTTAATCCATAGAAATACAAGCATATGTACAAAAGATATGTGCATATGAATGTTTATTGTAGCATTGTTTATGCAGTGAAAAATTGAGTTCAACCTATATATTCATCAATAGAGGAATAAATAAATAAATTTTAGCATATCCGTACTTTGGAATACTGTGAAGAGCAGGTACTATGAAGAGTATAGGCTCTGGAATTAGGTTGCCAGGTTTGAATTCTGGATCCACCATTTCCTAGTTGCATGACATAGGCTTGCTTAACTTCTCCGGGCCTCAATTTTCTCGTCTGTAAAATGGAGATAATTGAATCAATTTCAGAGGGTTGTGTGATAATTAAATGACCTAAAGTGTATAGAACAGTGCTTAGGACATAAGTACTCAATAATATTAGCTAATATTGAATTATCACTTTGCAGCTATTAAAAAGAATAAAATACATCTATAAAATACTAACATGGAAAAAACCCACCTTGATTTAAGTAAACAAATTTTAGAGCAATGTGTGCACATAGCAGGAGCACCTGTTTGTAAATAAAATTTTTAAATGATTTATGTGCATGTATTTTAATGTATGTGGATAAATCTGGAAGGATAAATGCCAATCTTAACAGTAGTTACCTCTGGGGAGTGAACATGGGTAGAGGGGAAGCAGATTATCAGATTTTTAAAGAAATATTTTCTTGTATTGTTTTTGTTCCAAGCACGTATTACATTTATAACTAAAAAATTTTTTTAAAGATTTCATAGACTGTAAGGATAGTAGAACTTTTGACTAACCTTTATTTTACTTTTTCTTTTTTATATAACTGTGAAAAGGTTGTGTTCTCTAAATGATATGTGCTTTCTCTTATTTTCCTTAGTGACTCACTAAGATTTTCCTTGCAGGAACATGCTTACCCAGCTGATGAACTCATGCCTTTAACCTGCAGAGGTCGTGTCAGAGGCCAGGAGCCAAGTCGGGGTGATGTCGATGACGCCTTAGGAAAGTGAGTATTAACACGGGATGGCATGGTGTCTCAAAGTTCCAAAGGCTTAGACTTCTTAGAGACAGTTTACAACCATATTTCTAGGGATTGTTTAAATTTCAAAGACTACTTTAAGTATTACATTAAGTTCCTTTATTCCCTTCTGTTATCTTTTGTAAAAAATTAATCAGTTTACCTCTTGGATCAGTGAAAAGTTGAGTTTGTTAAGGTGGATGTAACTTTTTAAATGTGTATAAAGTCATTGACACATTATAAGGTGTTGATGCCTTAATAATGTTATTTGCTTTAAAAAGAGCTAATGAATATTTCTATTCATTTTTAAAGATATTAGATATGCTGAACCTAAATGTAATGTTAAGGCATTTCAGATTCTTTCAGTGCTTTTTAAATTAAATTGTACCATAGATGCATGGAAGTACTGGTTAATAGAAACTATCAGTCAATAGGATGTAGATGCATTCATGGATAAAATATTCAGAATTCTAATGTTTTGTATCTCGCTATACTTGTTTCTTAGATTTTCCCTGACACTGATTGATTCTTTGGACACTCTTGTGGTAGGTTTGGTTCTTCTTGAATTTACTTACTTTATAAATTTCGTAGTAGGCACGCTCAAGTACTGTGAATATAATCATTACACAATTAAGTCTGAAATAGAAGCCTTCAGAATTTAAGATGTTCTGATTTTGCTTCTAAATAAATCTTTCACACTATTGAGTTGATAATGTCATGTGAATGTCAAGTGAAATGATGTAGAATCATGCAGATACTCAAATAACTTATAAGTATGTCAGCTTATGTGATGGCTCCTTAATCAGAATGGTTGTTTCCCTTTGGACAAGGAGATTGAAGCTATTTGAAGAAAGTAATTCTATAAAATACCATTGGTATTCTTGTTCCAGAATGACATGCCACAGTGATACTGAAATTGTTAAATCAGAATTTTTATATATTATATTCATTAAAAAAATTATTTTTTCCCAGAAATTATTTTTAGCACCAAGTAATCACTTCTTGGCGTTCTTTTCAACCTCATAGGACACAAAATCATCTAAATTTTCTGGTTAGGGTTGGCAGAAGGGAAGGATTGAGGATTGAGTTCTAGATGTCATGATTGCTAAATACAGTATCTTTCTAGTTTTCTACTTTTAGATCACTTATGGTATAAAAGTAGACTTGTTTCAGGATTTTCCTTAAGGTGTAATTTTCCACTTTGAGTTAATGTCTTAAGTACTGATTAATATTTTAAAAAACAAAACAAAAATCTTTGGGGTGGCAGAAATTTGTCAGAACGAGTCTTTTCTTCCTCATATTGTTTCTACATTCTTCTATCATTGGGTAGTTTTTTTTTTCCTTTCTCTCTTTTTTTTAACCAGAGAGTCTCCACTATACCAGCACCTTAGGTGAATTGCCTGTTGAAGTTTTAAAAAATATCCCCCTCTCCCAAGTTATTCTGATTTAATTGTTGTGGAGTGGGGCTGGGCATTATTATTTATTTCTCTAAAGCATCTGTTTGTTTATAAAATGCAGCCACGGTTGAGAAGACCTTTTTGTTGAGAAGACCATGGTTGTTTAGTTCTTTTTAGCTGGGTCAGGATTTTGAAAGTTATGACTTCATTTTTCAGAGATTAAAGGAATGTACAAACTGCATTATAATGACTAGGGGAATGAGAGAGAATATTGTATGTCTTGGTTTTGGTTTAATGGTCCTAGGTGTTGGGGAATAGAAAAAAATAAACAAAATGTCCTGGGAAGCACAAATTACCACTCAGGGAAAAACTAAGTGATGTTATTTATTTGTAACTGTAGCTGAGTTATGCACATCAGGTGCATAACTGGGATGAGGGAGTGAGGAGCAGTAGCTGAGTATTAGGAGAGACCAAAGGTGGACTGAAGTTTGTCTCTCATTCTGTCATTTTGGCTTTATCCTTCTATATAGCAGGTTCCTTATCATCTCTCTGTAAGCTCTTAGTTGATTTTCATGAACATGGACCTCAGATATATGTGTTCTTAAAAATCTTATCAGAAATGAAGGAGAAAAGGTGATTCTAGGCTTCATAACTTTCATATATTTAGAAATCTGTTGGCTTCTAATTGAGAAGCCATTCATTATTATAAAGGTTATAACCTTCAGGTTATACCAATTATATACTTTGGCATTAGTTCTCAGAATACTGATCCCAGGGAGCCAGCCTGGTCTAGTGGTTCAAGTTCGGTGCTCTCACTGCCTCGGTGGCCTGGGTTTGTTTCACGGAACTACACCACCTGTCTGTCAGTTGCCATGCTGTGGCGGTGGCTCACATAGAAGAGCTAGAAGGACTTACAACTAGGATATACAACCATGCACTGGGGCTTTGGGGAGGAAAAAAAAAAGATCGCAGGACCAGCAGCATCAACATCACCTAGCAACTTGTTAGAAATGCAAATTCTAGGCCCTCATCCCAGACATAACTGAATCAGAAAGTCTGGGAGTGAGGCCCTGCAGTCTATTTTTTAATAGGCTTCCAGATGATTCTGATGTACCCCAAAGTTGGAGAACCACTCTACAATGATGCAGTGGTTTTAAACTTCGGTGTACTAAAAGTCACCTAAGGATCTTGCTAATATGCAGATTCTGATCCAGTAGACGGAAGGTGGGGCTCAAGAATCTGTGTTTCTAATAAGCTGCCACTTGGTGGTGCTGCTGCCGTTCAGCAGACCACACTTTCAGTAACGTGTGGTGTAAACACTTCTGGCTCCTTGTGGCAGGGAGTAACAAGAAGTGATCACATAATATTGATATGTGTGACCTTCGCCAAATTATTTAACTTCTCTGGGCCCCTGTTTTTACCTCAGAAGGGCCTAGACTAGATATCTAAGGTCCCTATTAACTGTAAGATATTATTTTTTATTGATCTTTGGTTCAGATGCAGATAAGTAACCCCTATTTGTTGAAGCTATCCTCATGAAGAGTCAAGAAGAAAGATTGATGAAGTCTTACAAACACTTAAAAAATGATACTTTATAAACTCTTTAAATTTCAATCTTTTCAAGTGGCAATAACCTAAGTAACTTATTACATATCATCATAATTTTGAAATATGCAAATTCATTTTGAATTTTTATCATCTTAAAAATTTTCTTTTTAATTTAAACAGAAGAATTAAAAGAAACTAGTTTGAATGTTTTTTCCTACATTTCGAAGGAATGCTATCTTGTACATTTGATCAGTACAAGTACTAATATTTTTAATTTACTTTGCCTTTACTTTGTGATTATTTTTTCATTTTATGATTTATTTATTTGAAAATATTAATAGGACATATCACTTGTGACAGTACACACAACCCTACCATTTTTATTTTGGTCATGCTATAATGTGTTAAGTAGAATTTATTTTGCCGTAGTTTGATCCTTCAATTTAAACTGTTATTTATAATTCTAGCCATCTAGTTTCTATGACAGTAATGAAGTCAAGTACTTAAACTTTCAATTTACCTTTAAATTCGACATTGCCATAAAATCTGTAGAAAGAAAGATATTGCAACATGTTAAAGATAGTGAGGGAAAGGAAGGGACCTGAATTCATCCTTTGTTATGGGCTACGAGCTTAAGCAACTCATTAACTGATGGGGCTGTTAGAATGAATTTTCTTGCTAGTTATGGACAAAGAGAACTGTCTTCTGCTTTTAGTCTCCTTTTAAACAAATAGCATTGGTACTATTACTGGGAGTAATTCTCAGGAGATAGACCTAGGAAGAAGAATAAGATTAACAAAATGATATTATAAAGTGTATGTGTATGTGAGGGGGGAGTAGAACCGTTGTGTCTCATTCTAAAGGTGATAGAAGCGCTGTATTCCTCTGCATTTGTTGTTGCAGAATTTACGTGGACTTTGAGAAGAGAAAGCAGTCAATTTAAAATTGGGTTTTGTATTATATTTACTTAAGGCTTACCCTAAATTTTGCTTTTACTTGAATTTTAGATACTCTTATGGAATGTTTTATACCTAAATTAGAATTTTTAGTGAAAGTATCAAGTGAAAAAGCACTACACAATATTATCAAACAAAAAGATTTAACAGTCAAACAAAGGAAAACTACCTTTAATGAAAATAGGACCTAAATAACATCTAATTGTGTGGGCTTAATTTACACTGAAAAATCTAAGCAACCTATGTAATGATAGTGACCCCTTCATGGAGCTCATTGCAAGAATCCCAGAGTTCTTAGCTTAGTCAAGATTCTAGACCCTCATGATAATAATGGTAATCTAGACCCTCATGATAATAATGGTAATAGTAATGATACTAAGCACCTGTTAAGTCAGGCACTCTACTGAAAGTACTTTACATGCATTACCTCATTTAAGAAAATAATCCTGTGAGAGAGGGTGTTTCCTCTTTTTGTAGGTGAAAGAACAGGCTCACAGATAGAAATAACTTGACTGGGATTAGACCTAAGTAGTGAAAGAAGGAACCAGCATTCAAATTGGAGCTTGCTCTTGACCACAACATTGTACTGCATCCTTAGTTAGTACTGCCCTTTAGTTAGGGGTCGGGGCGCCCAGGGGGTGAAGATGGCAGGTGCTGTGTGGTTTAGGATCATCAATCATTCCCTGAGGGATGTGCTTTCTCCTGAGAGTGAGCAACTTGTAAAAGGCTGTTTGGTGAATAGGGTGGTTTTTTGTTTTGCTTTGATGTGGAAACCAAATCCCAGTAGAGCTCACTTCATGTAGCTCTAGTCATGGGTTATATGTTAAGAAAGCAATTGACAGTTCTGATGATGATTGTTTTAAAGTCCTAAAGATACTTCAGTGTGTCTAAAAAAGAACTATATAAAGATTCCTTATAATTAGGCACTTAATTTTTTTGGTTTCAGATATTATCACATTTTTGTAATATGCTTAAGGGAAAAATTATTTTGTGTCACTTTTTAGAGTCTTAAAGTATATTAACTTGCTTTTAGTAGCTCATTCTGAGGATATTTTTCTTTGACTTGGTAGAAAAGAACTTTATTTTCAAAATTTTCTTTTCCTAGGTATTAAATAAAACTAAAGAATTTGAAGATGCAGTGAGAAAAGTTTTGAGAGATGTTAATTTAGATAATGATGTAGTTGTATCAGTCTTTGAAACAAACATCAGAGTTCTTGGGTAAGTAAAACACTAAAGCTATAATTTTAATAACAGAAAAACTTGGGATATACTGTTTATTTTTTGATGGTAATAAAGCAAGAAATTTCTTATGTTTAGAAAATAAAAGTTGAGATATTATGAAACACAGAGGCTGTGGGATGATCTTGCATTATATCAGGCACAGACAGCAGCAGGCTTTGGAAATAGTTGCAGAGTCAAATCAAAGGTAAATGCTGTATGTTGTTAAAAAAGGTTGAACATTTGCGTATTAGCTACATCACAGATTTTTCACTACCTGACGTAGTTTCCTAACCTTAGCCAGCACTTCTTCAAGCCAAATGAAACTGAACTTATAGGATTACCTCACAACTAAACAGTGTGAAATGCTCTTGGAACTTTTAAAAATATCGAATTACAGGATTTATTAATTCAAGTTTCAACGTTATTAAGTTTTATATTTAATGGTTACCTTTGTGTTTTTGTAACTCATTCCCTATTGTCAGACAGAAAAGTGAGTCTGTTCTTCAATTAAATTTAAGAAATAGTTATGTAGCTTTTCACAGGGTTTATTAATCTATTACATTTAATACAAAGTGAGGAGTTTTTTTAATGTTATACTAACAGAGTTAAAGATTTCGTGATGATACCATTAAATTAGTTAAATCTAAAATTAGTTAAAATCAAACTTGTTAAAATAAGTGATTTTTTAGGGTGTTCTTCATTTTAAGAAAATTTAAGATTTTTAAGAATGCTTTACAACAGATAGAACATCTGAATTTTTTTTTTTATACTGGCTATGTAATTATAATGGTTTGCCATAAAATGAGTACCCAGTGTTGAGTAAAAAATTAGATTCTTCTGTGGTCTTTCCTTATTTGTGCTAAATTGTTGATACCAAGATACTCATATCTTTTTAGGTGGTGACTTTTAAGTATCTGTAAGATGTGGGTAATGTTTCATCTCTGTGATTGTAGGGGTCTTTTGGGTGGACACTCATTGGCAATCATGCTGAAAGAAAAAGGCGAGTACATGCAGTGGTACAATGATGAACTTCTCCAAATGGCAAAGCAGTTGGGTTACAAACTTTTACCAGCTTTCAATACTACTAGTGGCCTTCCTTATCCAAGAGTAAGTAATTCTGAAAAATATGGCAGTCTTTATATACTTCCTTTGCTATGTAAAAAAACTGAATTTTTGTGATCAGAGCCATTGTTCCTCACCTGCTTGAGGCTGGAAAAAATGTTTCATAGCTACATAACAAATTTATATTCACATTTCAATTAATTTGCATTTGAGTGGTGTGAGAATGTAGATTAGTTTAAGCCTTTTATGTGTCACTGCATACAGATTAGATTATGCTGCAGAAGCAAAAAACAGTTGCCAGACTAGAATTTGGGCACAGAATTATTTGTGTAGAAGATATAGTTGAAGCAGTGAGGGTAGGTGTTAACTCTCCAGAGAAGAGGATATAGAGAAAAAAGGACAGGGCGGGGGATGGGGAGGAAGCAGAGCAGTGAAAAGGGGAGTGTTCAGAGACTTAGGAGGAGAACCATAAAGTAGTGTGTGGTATTATACAATCTTAAGAAGAGTTTCAAAAGAAGATGTTCTAGAAAACCTTAGGAGAACTAGATACAAACAGAGCCTTGACAGATGTAATGTGGTAGAATAAAAGAGAAAGAAGGGTTCAAAGTAGCTGAAAGTACGGGACCATTCATTCTGAGATTTCCTCTATGCTGGTAGTTAGAGTTGGCAGCAGAGTCGGTTGAGAAAGTTTTGTGTTTTTTCCCCCAAGAAAATTTTTTATTTAAAGCAGGGGGAAAGAAGCCATTGAAGAAAGAAAGAGCCCTCTTTCTTGATTTATTTCATTCTTTATTAACTTTATTGCTCTCTCCCTCTTATCCAAGCCAGACACCTCAACCATTACCAGGCTCTATCAATTTTTTCTTTTCTTACTGCTGCTATGCTACTTGAAACCAAGATAATTTTATTCCTAAACTGTTGTAAATACCTGTCTTCCTCTTTTCTCGCTGGTTTATGCTTCAGAGACTTAAAAAATGAATCTTACTAAAACATAATTTTTATCAAATTACTTTTCCCTCAGAGGTTTTACTGACTCTCACTGTTGTACTCGGTGTCCTTTACCTTTCACAGTTCTTTATGCTTTGGCAACAGCCTTTCTTTGACATTCTTTCATACCCATGCACCAATGAGGTGAGTGTTCCATTCCAGCCCAAATAGTCTATTAGTGGCCCCGAGAACACCTAGGGTTTTGTTGTGTTTTTTGTGTTCCCCCTTCATTTCCATGCCTTTGGGTCTACCATCTCTATTTCCCAGAATAACTTCTCTACCAACATAAATCAAATAAGACTCATTTCCTTCATCAGGAAATCTCTGGCTGGAGATACAGCATGATATAGAACAGTGCTTTTCAAACTGGAGGTCACAGCCCACTGGTTTACTTATCGATTTAGTGGATCATGACCAACACTTTTTTTTTTTTTTTTTAATAAAACAGACTAGTATTAAATCTCTTATTTAAATTTCTAGTTTTTGGTATTTTAAATAGCTCTTCTGTGAACATCCTTCTACACATCTTTTTACTTATTTCTTCCTTAGGATAAATTACTAGAAGAGGAAAAATGAGTCACAGAATAGGGAATGCTTTTTTAAGGCTCTGGGTCCTTATTGCCCAATTGCTCTCCAGAAGGTTCTACTTTTTTTTTTTTTTTTTGGGTGAGGAAGACCAGCCCTGAGCTAACATCTGATGCCAATCCTCCCCTTTTTTCTTGAGGAAGACTGGCCCTGGGCTAACATCCGTGCCCATCTTCCTCTAATTTATATGGGACGCCGCCACAGCATGGCTTCACAAGCGGTGTGTCGGTGTGCGCCCGGGATCTGAACCTGTGAACCCCGAGCCGCCGAAGCGGAGTGTGTGCACTTAACTGCTGCATGACTGGGCCAGCCTCCAGAAGGTTCTACTTTTATTCACCCTCAGTGTTGTATAAAAGTGCACGTGTCTTTGTACTGTTGTCAACACTGTGTATAATCATTCTTTTGCCAATTTAATGAGGAGAAAAATGGAATTGTATTAATTTGAATTTCTTTGCTTATTGTGGTTAAACTTGTTTGTTGATCTTTTAATTTTCTTAGCATATTAAAATTAAAAGCAGAGTTATTTTAAACAGTCTAGATGTTTATTTAATTGAATTTACTTTAAGTAAATATTTTTAGTTTTTGTTATAAATAGAGGTGCTGAATTTTGCAGAATCTAGCATTTCTTCACTTTTGCCATAGTATGAGAAGCAGGCAAGGAACTGAAACAGAAGCTGCTAAGAGCATTATAGTAAAACAAAGAAAATTGTACTATTTTCTTATCCTCTGAATTGCCAAGAAAATTTAAAAAATTATTTTTTAGAAGAGGACTACAGGTAGAAAATAACTGCCTTCCCATCCTTCCTTATACACACTTGGTAGATATTGCTTTCACTCATGAAAATTTGTGCAGTCAGTTTCTCTTAGATATGCATACATAATTGATAGTAATTTGTGTTAATAGTTTTAACACAGAAGAATTTGCTGGACAGAAATGCTATTGCAATAGTTAATGGTCATTTTTTGAACTCACATAAACCCTAGAGCTAGTCCACACTTTGTAATGCCATTTCCTCAAAGTTAATTAAAAGCATCTTGCCAGCTTTTCATTTAAGACCTCATTGCTAAGGTTGAGTAGATGATTATATCCATAAAATATAGGGTTAATAGGAATTCCATTATAATTTAATACATATTTTATGGATCTGCGAGTATAGCAAATACATAATGTAAATGAATTCAAGGTAGGTAGTTGAAACTTTTACCTTTTAATAAAAAAGAGTCCTTTTTAAAAACTACTTTGTGATTCTCAGGAACACACAGGACCAAGAGGAACCAGGTTCCAGATTCCTTCCAAGTATAAAACCTGTATTATACTTTTATCCCTTTTTGTCTTAAGCCTTTCAAGTAAACAGGGCAATAGGCTCCTTGTTTCTAACTTCTGCGTGAGTGAATGGATGCTACTCCCAGTGCCCTCGCTATGTTCAGTCATTGGAGGCCTAGTCAGGAGGACAGGAGCCTGTCTATCAGCCTCTAGATCAAAAGTCAACAAGAGGATGCCCATAAGAAAAACAGGCACTGAACTCTTCTTCCGTGTCTGGTGGAAATGGCAGTGCCCCCTAGAGGAAGAAATGCAACTTGGTTTTGCATTTGGAAGTTGAATGCAACTTAAATCTTCAGCATACAAGGTTGAAATGCTATGATACTACAGATAGTTGTGTTAACAAATAGTCCTTTTACATCATTTAGCAACCATCTGGGGACAGTAAAGACTATAATTCAATATACAAACATCTTAAATATTTTTCATGTACAACATTGAATGATTCAAAATATTTCCTTTTTTTTTGAAGGGACAAGATGCTAAAAATGGGATACAAATGTTTGTTCTTTTCTGCCTTGCCTTTGCTCTCGCATGACTACTCTCTGGACTTTGCTATTCTTAGTTCTCAACTACCCCAATGCAGTGATATTGCCTCTTCCAAATTTTAAATATTAGCATTTGTTGTCAGTTCCACTTGTTTAGCACTTATTTATGACTTTCCATTGTTAGTTATCTTCTCTATTTACCTGTCTTACTTACTCTGTCTGAATTTTAAGCTCCTCGAGGGCAAGGATCTCCTCAATTTCTTTGTATTTTACCATAATATCCACGACATAGTAGGTAATTGTTAAATAAATATTGATCAGTTGATTGTAGTAATTAATAGAGCTAACCAGAAATTATTTTTCACTGTTGACTCTTATTGCAAATATTTATAAAAATTATTGTTATACTTTGCCTTTGTGTAATTAATGTAATTAAATATTTTATTATTGAGGATTGTTTCATTTTAAGTTCATTATTCTTAACATAGATTTTAGTTCTGTAGATAGAGATATAGGCAGCTTAATGTTCATGGTACAGAACTACCTAAAACTATTATTCTACCAGAAGTATAAACAATGGTGGTAATTATGAATTTGAGTGGGGATAGAGAGGTGCTGCTAGGCTAATAGCACATGGAACATGGTTTAAATGCTTCAAGTGACCTTCTAGGAAGTGAGACAAATGGCAGTACTGGAGCCAACATAGTGATCCACTCCCCCTGTCTCCCCTACATTCACTTGTGTTGTTTGTGTTGTTGAGTGAGTATTTTCCCATCTTCTTGTTTAGGAATGCCTAGAGTCTATTGATTGGACACTGTTAAGGTAATAGGCGTACCTAACAATTGATTTCTGCAGATAAATTGAAATATAAATTTGAGCTTCTGTTTATGCGAGTTTGAATAATAACTAACCTGAGAACGTATCCATGATGTTTTATATTTGATTTTTTTGTTTGTTGGTATGCTAGATCTTTGGCATATACTTACTCTTTTGTTGTTTATTCTAATTGCAGGAAAACATTCTAGTTTTAATTAGTTTCTGGTTAGTTTGATTCTGGTTAATCCAGGTTTATATTGCAGTATTATTTGGCTGTCTTTGAAAAAATTTTCTTTGTGTTATTTGTTAGCCTGTCAGCAAGGCGATGTACTCTATATTTCACAACTTTTAAAGCCTGTGAAGAAAATTTTAATATCCTGTTAAATACATATCATAACTTAATCAGTTTTTTCTCTATGAACGACTAATACAGTACTGCTTTTTCACAAATTCTCAATTAAACCTAATTTGTTTGAGGGCTGGTCTAGTTTCCTATTCTTGTGCTAACTAGTTCAAACTGTCCAGAGAAAGAAATTGCTATAGAAGATATTTTCTCTATGTAATGATATAATGATATTGAATTTTGATATCATCAAGGAAGGAACTAAATGAAAACTTACTTACTCCATGAATAATATGTGCTTAGAATATATATGTGCTTAGAATATAGTTCCCTAAATGTTAATTGGAAAGTCATAAAGATCATCAGATTGAATTTCACTGGTTAGTTATTTTATGTATTATTTTTATGATTTGATTAAAAGTCTTGATTGAAAAATGGTTTCTTATCCAGAATTCATCTCTTGATAACTGCTAATGATAATCTTCTGATTTTATTTAGATTAATTTAAAGTTTGGTATCAGAAAACCAGAAGCTCGGACGGGAACTGAGACAGATACCTGTACAGCTTGTGCAGGTACCTTGATCCTTGAGTTCGCTGCTTTAAGTCGATTCACAGGAGCAACAATATTTGAGGTTGGCTTTTCACAGTCTTTGATCTCCTGGGTATTGGGTATAACTAACTTTATATCTTTTCTTCATTGGTCAAGTATTACCATTATCAACTGGAAGATTTCTGTTACTTTAGTGAACCTTTTGTCTAAATTCCATTACATAGTTTTTGTCAAAAAATAGAAGTTGTATTAAATACAACTTTGCATTTTGTAATGCAAATGGAGCCAACAAACTATAAAGTAAATTTTTAGGTTTATTCTTAGAAGACTTTTTAGCCATATTACGTATATGAATTTGATATCACACGTCTTATATGAAATACTATGTCTGTGTTTTATTTCTTAGACTTCTAGGTGGTCTATTGCATTTCTGAAAACTTCACTAATCTTCTAAAACATAGTGAAATTTTTTCACTCAAGTCTAGATTGAGAGTCTTATCTGTAAGTTTGTTTACTCGAAGGGAAATGTTATTCATTATCCAAAGACTTTAATATCCTCCAAATAGTTTGTTGTGGACTAGCTATTCTCACACTTTTTATTTTATTTCATTGTTTAAGCATGTCATTGGAGTGCAGTAGTAACCAAAAACACCCTCTTGTTAAAACATATGACTTAAAATTTTTAAAAATTCAGCAAATGGTATGCATAGAACAAGCAGAAATAGGGTCTGTGTACCAGCATTAAAGATGTTGGATTTGAGTGTAAGTAAAACAAGTCAAATGGGCTTTGTGTGTGTGTACATTCAAAGTGTCTTAAGGACAGATTTATCATGTTTGGTTTAATTTTTATTCTATATCTTGTTGACTAATGTTTTGCTTTCATTAAAAATTGTAGTCATTTTTGCATACTTTCTAATTTAATTTGAACTACAACCTCTCTGAGATCCTGGTGCATTTGCAGATGAGGAATGTGAGATTCAAAGAGGATAAGATGCACAACTAGTGGGTGAATAAGTGGAACTGGAATTAGAATCCATGCCTGTCTGAATTCAAAGCCCATGCTCTTTCCACTGGGCTGTTTTGTATTTATGAGTATATCTGTTGAAAACCATGATTTTTTTTAACTTCTTGAATGTAATAATTTATGGTGAGAGAAGCAACCTGATGCAGTTGACAGAGCATTGGTCTAGTACAGGGCTGGTAAACTATAGTCTGCAGGCCAAATCCAGTCACTGCCTGTTTTTGTAAATAAAATTTTATTGGAACACAGCCATACTCATTTATTTATTTTTTTGTCTTTAGCTGCATTTGTGCTATAGTGACTGACCCATAGTGCCTAAAATATTTACTGTCTCACCCTTGTCAGAAAAAGTTTGCTGAACTTTGATCTAACATGTAAAGAGATCTGAATTCTCATGTTAGTTGTCCAATAATTCAGTTTTAAACTTTGGTTAAATCCATTTCACTGGGCCTGTTTTCTTAGCTGTAGGATAGAAGTAGGGAAATATAATCTTTATGAAACTTTCCAGCTCTGAAATGATACCATTTAATTAAAGTTGTAATCTACTTTGTTTTAAAAAATCAGCATAAATAGATTGAGTCAAGAGTTAAAACTATTTTACACTCTAGTCTTAAATCTGCAAAGTGACAAATTGGTTTAATGGTTTTTTTTCTTTTATAGAAGTACTTCTGCAGTGCTGAATAGATTCACGCTCTGAAATTAATTTTAACTTAGAAATCCTCCTGTACATGTCCTTTGCTTTTTATGTTTTGTGACATCTTTTCATCCAAAGGCAAGAATTTGATCAGAAATAATTTTAATTTAGTGTCCAATAGGTAAAAATAAATGAAAAAAAATATCATAAGGTTATAATTTTGATACAGTAGTCCTCCCTTATCTGTGGTTTCGCTTTCAGCAGTTTCAGTTACCTGTGGTCCACCGAAGACCGAAAATATTAAGTGGAAAATGCCAGAAATAAACAATTCATAAGTTTTAAATTGTGTGCCATTCTGAGTAACATGATGAAATCACTCTCTGTCCTGCCAGGGATGTGAATCATCCTTTTTTATAGCACATCCACGCTGTATCCACGCTGTATTTGCTACTCACATGTTAGTTATCTAGTAGCAGTCCAGGTTATCTGATCGCTTGTTGCAGTATGGCAGTGCTTGTGTTCAAGTCACCCTTATTTTACTTAATAATGGTCCCAAAGCGCAAGAGTAGTGATGCTGGTAATTTGGATACGCCGAAGAGAAGCTGTAAAGTGCTTCTTTTAAGTGAAAAGGTGAAAGTTCTCGACTGAATAAGGAAAGAAAAAAAATTGTATGCTGAGGTTGCTAAAATCTACAGTAACTTTTATTACAGTATGTTATAATTGTTCTGTTTTATTATTATTGTTAATCTCTTACTGTGCTAGTTTATAAATTAAACTTTATCATAGGTATGTATGTATGGGAAAAACATAGTATATATAGGATCTGATGTTATCTACCATTTCAGACATCCACTGGGGGTCTTGGAACGTATCCCTCGTGGATAAGGAGGGGCTGCTGTATTGTCAAATGAATACTAGTTGATTTACTTATTTTTTACTAACAAAGTTGCATGCTATGTAAAAAGTGGGATCTGTAATGCCTGTGTTTCAAAGATGGCATACCAAGTTTGAAATTCTCTTCCAATTTTCCAAAAAAGTGTATCTAAGGAGATTTTCACTTTGCATTTAAATGATATAAATTTATTTTAACAAGTGCATTTAATTATGCCAGCAATTTAGATAATTTAATAATACATGTGTGTGAATGTAAACCTGTACTGCAAGACTAGCTGAACAAGGATGGTCTCAAAGTGACATCATTGCCGCTAAATAGCATTTTTAGAGTCATTTTTTTAAACTAGACTCTGTTGACTGAAAAAGAGCCAAGATTTGACTTTTAAGGAAATTTAATGTATGTTATAAGTGATTATATTAGGAATTTTACTTTATCTTTAAAATATATTATGGGCTTTTGATTTTTGTTTCATAGTTTCTTGTTTGTCAAAGACAGTTCTTCAAGTATGCTTTTCTTTTTTTAATTATAGGAATATGCAAGAAAAGCTCTTGATTTTCTCTGGGAAAAAAGACAGCGAAGTAGTAATTTAGTGGGCGTGACTATAAATATTCATACCGGAGATTGGGTACGAAAAGGTATGTAAGTTGGACTTTTTAAATCAAGCCTTCGCATACTCAAAACGGTTGGGAAATAAAGGATTTTCATTTGCTAAAATAGTCTTTGGGACAGTATAAAGCATAGTTTCTCACAAGATTGCTGGAATTTTAACTAATTTAGCCAGATTTTCTTCTTTGGTGCCTAATAATAGTGCACTTATTCTAAAAGACTTACTGTTCTATTTCATAGCTTAATGGGTATAGCATTATAGACATAGGGCATAGACGAAACCCTAGAACTAATTTCTTTGAAGAGTAGAGGATCAGAATACCTTAGCCATCTCACATCAAGGGGTACTTAAGTGAAAATCTGTATTTAATAGTGTTATCACCAATCCTGGTTTTTTTTGTTTTTTTTTTTTACCTCCAGACATAGAGTATAGCATGGTAGTTAAGAGCATAGACTCTGGATTCATAGTTTTGGAATTCAAACTATGTGATCTTGAGCAAATTATTTTAACCCTTTGTGTGCCTCAATGTCTGTATCTATAAAACGAGGATGATCTTACTTCCTAGAGTTATTATGAGGATTAAATGAGTTAATCAATGTAGAGCACTTAGAACAGTGCCTGGCATATGCTACACTTACTGTGAAGTAAGTGCTCACTAATATGATATTAGTCCCTTTCATTAATAATTTCATTTCTGAGAATCTAGCCTGAGGAGATAATATGAAATGTAGAAAATGATTTGTTCCCAAAGATGTTCATCACATAATTATTTGTTATAGTGGAAAACTTGGAAACAGTCTAAGGGATCATTAATGAAAGAATAGCTAAGAAAATTGTTTTACATCACTGTTGGAATGTTAAGTTATTAAAATGAATTAGAATCTTGGGAGAAAGCATATAACAATCTTTTATGAACAAACAGGCTATAGGATTGTATAAAGAATATGATTTTATTTTTATAAGACACCCCTATAAAACAAGCATAGACAAATGGAAATATACTGGAATATTCCTATTGAGATTATCTTATTTATACATCTCTCTATTTTCCAAAAGGCTTATGTTGTTTATATAAAATAAAAAATAACTGCCTATATTTAAGTAAATGAAAATGATATAATTATTAATTTGAATATATTAAAATAAAATTATTGCCTCTCTTCAGTATTGTATAAAATTTTTCAAAGTTTTATCTAAGTGGTTCCTGAAATTGGTCTGAATCCTGGCTTCAGAATTCTGTGATTTCTTTTCTTATTCCTTTTCTTAACCTGCTTTGGTTCTCAGGTACAAATTAGTTAATCATAATTAATTTTGAATTAATTATAATCCTTGGCTTATGACACTGTCATCGTTGGCCCATGCATGGCCCGTTTTATTTAGTTAGTTATTTTTAATAATGTAATAAGCACCCACAAATGGACCATTCGTTACAAAAGCAACTACCTTGACAACATATTACTACTAAATATGGTGATTGACTCTCCCTACCTCTGCAATCCCACACCTCGGCCTTCTCTTAACTAAAATAACCATCATTCTTTTCTTGTGTTGATCATTCCCTGCTTTCCATTTAATAAAGTTTTATTGCATCTATATGTATTCCTAAAAAGTATATTTTTTTGATTTGTTTTAAACTTTATAAAAGGATATCATGTCACTTGAGACCTTTTGAGACTTTTTTCACTTAATATGATATTGCTAAGCTTCATGCACATTGTTGCATGAAGATGTCGTTCATTCTTTTTTGACTGCTGCGTAATATTTTATTGGATGAATAAACCATGATTTATGTACATTTAGTTTGTTTCTAGTTTTCTGCTGTTGTAAACCATGATGCCATGAATATTTTTGTATGTTTCTCCTGTTGTACATGTATAAGAGTTTCTTTTGGCTATATACCTAGGAGTGGAATTTTTAGATCGTAGGGTAAGTTAATGCTCAACTTCAGGAGATAGTGTCAGGTTGTTTTCGAAAGTTGTTTCACCACTTTATACTTTCACCAGCAACACAGAAGAGATCCTGTGGATCAACATCCTCTCCAACACTTTGTGCTGTCAGACTCAAAGATTTTACCAGTCAAATGGGTGTACACCAATTATTTTCCATTGTTTGATTTCCATGGTTTGATTTGTATTTTTTTGATCGCTAATGCTGTTGAACACTTCTTCATTTTTATTGGCTATATATGGTTTCTTTTTTGATATGGATGTTCTTGTATTTTGTTTATTTTCTACTGGGTTACTTGTGCTTTTTTAAGAAATATATTATTGATACCTATATGATACTTATGATCTATGTGATACTTAGCCTTTGAAATTTATTGAAGTTTTCTTTTTGGCCTAGAACATGGTCAGTTTTTGTAGACATTTCACATATGTTTAAGAAAAAAAATGTATATTTTCTAATTGTTGGATATAGAGTTCTATATATGTCACTTGCTCAGTTACTAATGTTGTACAGATCCTTGATGATTTTCTGTTTGCTTGACCTATCAAGAATTAAGAAAGGTGGATAAAATTTCTGACAATGGTAGTGGACTTATTAACATCTCCCTGTAGTTCTATTTTTGCTTTATATGTATGTTTTATTGGGTGCCTTAGTCTATTTTTGTGAGTGCATTCATTTAAAATTGCTACCTCCTCTTAGTTGAACCTTTCATTACTATGTAATGATCATCTCTAATAATACGCTGTCTTAAAGATAGTAATACAGCTACATCAGCTTTATTTTGCTTGATATTTGTGTAAGTCTTTTTCTGTACTTTTACTTTCAATCTTTGCAGGTGCTTGTGCTATAAGTATAACTCGTGTAAAATTTATAGATTTTAAAAATCCATTTTTTTGTCAGTCTCTGTCTTTTAATTGGTGAGTTTAGTCCATTTACATTTACTGATATATTTAATATATTTGGGCTTATTTATACTGTCTTAATTATTATTTCAGTGTGTGTCCTACCTTTTCTGTTTCTTTTTAACCCTTTTGTTTTTAATTGAAACCTATATTTACCTCCTAGTAAGACATAAACTTGAGCGTGCTCTCCCATCCCTTTGCCTCTGGCCAGCCCAACCCTCATCCCCATTATCTTGATATTGTACAGATATTTTGTTCTTATTGATTATGAATATGTTTTCTTTTTTTCCTTTTGGTCTTAGTGTCACCCTCCTCCCTTTTTCTTTAAAGATAACAAACTTCATCCAGGTATTTGGTCACCTGTACTTTGTATATTGCTTGCAACATCTGTTAGATTTGTCTCTCTTCTTATATTAGTATTTATCCCAAACTGTTTTCAGTAGCTTTTAATAGCTTTTGAGGCCTTATGTGCCTAACAATAATTTTATTATGCTTTCGTATTTGAATGAGTTTGGCTCTGTGTAAATGTCTGTTTAATTTCTTTTCCTTCCAGTCTTTGAAAGTACAACTCTGTTATCTTCTTACATCCTGTCTGTTATTCTGTTTTTTTGCCCTTGTATGTGATCTAACTCTTTCTGTCTAGAAGATTAAGAATATCAAAGACAGAGAAATTTCTGGAAGTGTCATTATGATTTTAGGTGCAGAACTTTCTTTCTCTCTCCTTTTGGTATTTTGTGGCCCTTTCAATTTAAAATCTTTGTTTTTAGTTGCTGAAAATTGACCTTTTTTTAGATATTTTATCCTTTTATTTTCATTTATCTCTCTTTTTGCAATTTCTGTTATCTAGGTAAATTCTGTTTCTATCCTCCATATATCTTAGCTTTTATATTCTCTTTTCTTTTTTTTTTTTTCTGGGAGAATACTACAGGTGGTCTTCCAGTTTGCTAATCTGTTCCTCAGCTGTATTCTTGATGCCATATACCCTGTCTGTTATGTAATTTTGTTATGTTTTTTATTCCATAATTTCTACTTGATTTAAAAACAATTTTTCTTCTCATTTTGTATTGCTAATATCTTCCCTATCTCTTTAGTATGTTTATTGGGCTAATTTTAAATTGTTGGTTTGCCTGTTCTAATATTTTCTTCCTGTTAACCTCTTATTCTAGTACTTTCTTTTTCTTTTTAAAAAGTCATTCATCTTAAATGTTTTTGTCCTATGAGTACATGTCACCTACTTTGTGGGAGGGTCAGATCCCAATCCCTATCAGCCCAGTGATCTTAGGGGGATGAATTCTAAGAAATTTTTTAAAATACCAATGCCTGGATCCCCTGGACTTATATAGTAGCATTATTCTATAAATGTGTAATTTTTACTTTAAACAGCGAGTTTCATGTTTACACTAATTTTTCATTCTTAGTGTACTACTACTAGAGATTCTGATTTAATTAGCATGGAGTGTGCCCTGGGTATAGGGATGTCTAAGATTGTCATTGTAATTATAAAGTTAGTTCCCACCTCTTTTGTTCAGTTCCTTATGCAAGGCTTCTGTGATGCCCTGATTTGCCTCCTGAGGATAGCAGGAGCATAGATCTGAGTCGTAGCAGGTGTGCGAGGAGACATTGTGTCTTAAGGCAGTGGTAGGAGAGAAGCAAGAGCAAAGCTCAGCAGTTTTCTTCCTATTTGATCCTTCCATAGCCATGCCTGGCTGCCTTCTGCTCTGGGCCAAAGCCTCTCCCCCTCCCCCAGGTTTCTTACGGTTTTCTTCTTATCTTGTTATTCTCTTTCTTTGGTCCTCTACGATGATCTTGGAGGAAGAAGCCAGAGGTTGTGCCAGCTTCAGCAATTAGAACTGACATCTCCAGATGGCAGCAGTCTCATTTTCACATGTATTATAACTTTAAAGATGGATGTCTGATTAAGAAGCTAGTAAAAACAACAACAAAAAAAGTGTACAGTGGTACCCTGTAGTGCTTCCTCTTTGCAGTTCCTCACTGAGAAAAGGAGCTTTAAAAGAATTCTTAAATCTAGTATACTGCTTTTAAATAAGACCTAAGTAAGATTTTTTTTAAACATACAAACTATTATCAGCAAAGGAATATTATTCATATAGTAGCATTATTCTATAAATGTGTAATTTTTACCTTAAACAGAGAGTTTCATGTTTACACTAATTTTTCACTCTTAGTGTACTACTACTCTCACTTATATTCTATAAGAATTTTTAAGATTTGTTTAATAAAGAATCACATTTATATGTATTTTCCATAGATAGTGGAGTTGGAGCAGGGATTGATTCATATTATGAATATCTGCTGAAAGCCTATGTCTTGCTTGGAGATGACAGTTTTCTGGAAAGATTTAATACAGTAAGTTGATCGGATTTTGTATTAATTTTAGAGCCAATCTAATTTGAGTGCCAGATTTTGATAGAAACTTAATCATCTGAGTGACATTCTGAAAAATACCTTATTTTTAAATGTGTAGGAGTTTTTTTCCGTGTTCCGTGATGATGTTGGACAGGGACAGGGTAAAAGCTGCATACATTCCAAAAATTAGTGTACAAAGTAGTTTTATTTTCATCACTTATCAGAAGTTTTCAAGATCTGCCAGTAAGTGATAAAATATGTAGATTTAAATTTTACCTAATCTTCTTTTGTATAAGGAAGAGAATTTATTGTAATAAATTACTAGTTAGCTTTCTTCTTTGGATTCCAATTCTTTTTGAAATCTTGGAAGTTTGGCCTAGTCCTTGATCACACCAAGTATGCAGGGCTTTGGAGACTTGGAGAAACTAGTAGAATTCATTTCAAAAGCATGTCTGTCAGTCTTAAGTCTGGATCAGAACCACGGGCATATTTTTAGGGGAGGGGGGAGGTTTATTGAACCCAATTGGATTGCCTTTGTCTGTAATTGAAGCAAACTGAAATTAATACAGCAAACTCATCAGCTGTATTACTGTATTCTTTTTTGAAATAATTTACCATTTCTTTGCCCACTCATCAGTTCACCCGTATTGCCGTGAGACAGTATGATACAGTGGTTAAGAGTATGCGAGTAGTCCTGCCTGAGTTTAAATCCAGGTTGTGCCCCTGGTTTTGTGACTTTGGGCAATAACTTTACAGTTTTTGCCTCTGTTCCTCATCCACAAAATGGGAATACTAGTACTGTTTATAGAGTTGTTGGGAGGATTAAATGAGCTAATGCATATGAAGTGGTTAGAACAGTGCCTTAACATCTGGCAGGTACTCAATTTTAGTTATTAAATAATAGATGAGTTAGGGAAAAAAACTAGTAAGAGTCCTAATAAGTCTTCAATTGAATACTTTAAAAAAACACTGTAACATATGTTGTTTATTAGATGATAAGATTTTCTTGAGGTGAATGTGCAAGATATTATTTTTATTGGCTTATTATCATTCATTGACTCGAACTGCTCAAGCTGTTGTCAAAGCTGAGAAATATCTAAAAGAAGAAGATAAAAGAAGGGAAAAAAGTTTTTAAATGCATGAAAGGCAGAGGTAGTAGACCATAAGAGTGGCAACAGTGATTAGATGCATTAATTAGGGTAGTAGTGAGCACCCAAATATTATGTTAGCTGAGAAGGGACAAACTTCCTAGACATAGGAGAAAACGAAACTAATTCTGTAATATAGAAGCCTGTAACTATATTTCAAGAGGACATAATAGCATCCTTGGGCCACAAAAGCATACTGGCTGTGGGCTAATCCCACAGGATAGCGATGTTCAGATCTACTCCCCTCAGAAGATCCTATATTAACTATAGTCTGTAATATTCTGCATCAGAGTTAAAGAACACAGTAGAGTATGTATAATATATTTAGAAAGATTTCCATCTAAAGTAATTTGAATATTTACATGGTTAATAATTACTTAGTAAGTTTATATATAAATGGAGGTTGAATTTCTTCACAGTGCTATTTAATGAAATGCTGTGGTTAGAATAGTAAATCTTTTCTCATCCACTTTCATGAATATATGTTGTGATCTTCCAGCACTATGATGCCATAATGAGGTACATTAGCCAGCCCCCTCTTCTCCTTGATGTGCACATCCACAAGCCAATGCTGAATGCTAGGACTTGGATGGATGCTTTGCTTGCCTTTTTTCCAGGTTTGCAGGTAAAAAAAAACTGCTGTTTTCTTAATATTAAAGTAAAATGATTATAATTTGAGTGCAATTGTGATCTCTAAAATTGAATTACCAAAATGGAGTCACATTTCAAAATTATGATTATAGATAAAGTCAACTCATATTTTGTTAGGTAATTTTGTTGTTATGTTGACTTTTAGGTCTTAAAGGGGGATATTAGACCTGCTATTGAAACTCATGAAATGTTGTATCAGGTGATTAAAAAACACAATTTTCTACCAGAGGTAAGCAAATAATCTTTGAAATTTTAATTTACATATACTACAAATTGCTAATTTAAAGGTAGATGGTGTCATCTTCAAGGCTGGTTTGTTCTTTTTCATTTATTTTTTCCTGATTAAATAGTTTAATTAATTTATTTTTGGTTTATACAGTACTGTATATGTTTTTCCCTCTCCTCACGTATTGAGAAGTCTAGTTTAGGGTAATGCTGACATTTTATTAATATTATGTAAAAAGAAAATCCCAAATTAGTATTTCTCCAACTTTTCTAATCCATGCCATTGCATATTGTCTCATTCTAGCTTTTGCATATACCCACCAGCTAGGGAGACCTTTTTACTTTTTATTTTGTAAAGCTTATTTTATGAAAACTATATACATTGAATATATTCTTGCTGATCACACATGCTCTCTAGAATTTTGGAGAATGCCAGCTCTTCCTCATGCTGATTGAGAATTATTCTCCCTGGTTTTTATACATTATACTAGTAATAAATATTCTTGCTAGCTTGATACAGCAGGATTTTAATAGCGTACTTCTTGGCTTTCCAGAAATGTACCATTAAAATTTTCCAAATTTGTGTATGGCTTTGTTTTATCCCTGCTTATTCACTATGCTCTGTGAGATATCTAAGCATTCCACCAATTTGCAATGCTTCCTAAAAGCATTTTGTTTGTTTTAGAAAGTATAGGGTTATTAGCCTTCAGGTGAATAGGACTGTGCATTGTAGAAAATTCATGTTCATTCAGAATAAACTGAGGTTTCAACTAAATACATCTTATCACAAATGAAATTTTGTTTGGTTCCCTTAAAGGTTTTTGTTTTTATTTTAATCTTTTTTTTAACCAGTTGATTCTGTTATTGAATAAATTTCAAGTGAGACTAGTTTTATTTTTAAGTAATGTCCTGTCTCATTCCACAGAGGATTTGAGGTTGTTATAAAAGAAAGCATGTGCTAAAATAGAAATATGAGAGCTAGGGACTTAATAATTAAGAGAAAAACGTGGAAATAAAGAAAAAGAAGAAAACACAATTATTTAGACCATCATGACCTAGATAGTGGCATTATTGAGTTTCTTAGTTTTTTCTAAGCTTCCTAATAGCCAAAATGATCATTAAAAAAAAAAATTTCATTTAATTAGTAAAAATAGCAATCTTAGCAAAAATGAATTATGATTTTAAGCAAGGGAAATTTTTATTTTATGGAAGAAAATTATCAATATTTTAATTATTTTGACTTGTTTATGATCTAATTTATGTACTACTATATATTCTATAACTGCATGTTTATTTTTTTAAATCATATTTGTATGCCTGTTTGTTTGTTGTTTTGTCTAGGCATTTACCACAGATTTCAGGGTACACTGGGCTCAACATCCTTTAAGGCCAGAATTTGCAGAAAGTACCTACTTCTTGTATAAAGTAAGCTAATTTACCTCACTTTTTGCTGTTTAGCCCCATTCTCTGTTGGATATCTCACTATCTTATAACGGTAATTGGGTTTCTAAAGTCCTTGTTTAGTATTATAGTGAATGGATATATCACCGTTCTTATTCATCTAGTCCATAGAGTTACTGAAAGATACAAGAATTGACATCTAAGTTTTATGCCTTTTCAAAATATTTCTATAAAGGTTTCTTTAAAAAGAAATTTTATGTTCTAGAGCTGCTTTCTAAAGCATGTCTCTTGCCTTCCTTCAATCAGGCAACCTTTCTGGGCATCAGAAATTTAATCTAAGGGCTAAGATATACAGTCGGACAGCTTTCCAATTGTGTGTTTAAGAAATTCCATAAAGCAGATCCATGGCTTATTTTCAGAGCTGAGTCCTATGTAACATGTGTTCCAGTGCCTGATACAATGCCTGGCAGCTAGTAGGTACTCAACAAATATTTGATAAATGAATGGGTATATGGTAATATATCAGCTATATATATGTATATATATATATTCTCCTTTTTAATAGGCTACAGGAGATCCTTACTACCTTGAAGTAGGGAAAACACTTATTGAAAATTTAAATAAATATGCTAGAGTGCCTTGCGGATTTGCTGCCATGAAGGATGTGCGTACTGGAAGTCATGAGGACAGGTAAAACGATTCCTAACATCCCCTTTCCTCAGGGTAACTCTGGGGAACAACATGAAATATGACTGTTAGTTAGAATTCAGATAAGCTTAATGCTTTACAAAGGGTGTTCGAAGATGCAAACCTTAGTTCATCCTGTTTATTTTTAAACTCTCTTGAATAGGCTCATTTTAAATTGTTTGAAAAGTTTGTATTTTTATCATAGTGCCTGGCATATAGTAGGTGCTCAAATGATTTTTAAATAGATGAATAAATGATTGTTAAATATCAGAACCTTGTTATTAGGATATTAGGAATGCTGGGGGGGGTTTTTTGCTAGTAGTTTTTTATATTATGTAAAATGTTAAAATTTATCAAGATGATGATGATGAGTGATCTGGATTATGATTCATTTTCAGTCTAGAACTCCTCAAAGCAATATCATGGTTAATGGATGTAATCTTACTCTGTTGCTGATTTGGAGGGCTGGGGAAGACCACGGGCAGTTTCTATTTCTTTGGATACTGGATAGATGTAGATGACATGAAATAATCAAGCTATAAAAAGCGTGTTTTGCTTAATGTGATATTCACTAACGTTCCACTTATTCCAAGGTCACTTATCTGGTTATTTTAACTGTCCAGAACATAGCAACACATCTCTAAATGAACACTAAAGCTTGTTTATTCATTTGGTTAGCAAATGTTCATTGCACCAATATTTATGAGGTGTCTTATGTGCCAGAGTTATATTAATTTTTGAGGATTAAAGATACGAAGACATGTTTTTTCTGTCATTGAATCACTGAGGACAGGCAGATGGACTTTAAAACATTGTATAAGTGCTATGAAACGTATTAAAGGGACATGAAACACAAGTTGGAATGTGACAGTCACGGAAAGGTTTCTGGAAGATCCTGTATCCTGAAGGATGGGCAAGAATTAGAAAGAAGAAAGTAGTAAAAGGAGTTTCAGACAGAGGGACTAGAGGCAGGTGAAACATAGCACTCATCATCTACTCATAGAGTTGTCCCTTAGTCCTTCACTCAGGCGTTTAGATAATAGTTAATTAGGCTGGAACCTCTTTTCCTGACCACAGCTGATGAGAAATGGATTGGTTTTTGGAAGTAGGCATGCACACAACAGCAAAAAATGAAAGCAGCTAGGCTGTGTGTTTATCTGTAACGTTTGTTGACTGCTTCCTGCATTCCGGGCACTCTTCTAATAAGCACTTTCTATATTTTGCTCATTTGATCCTGACAACAACGCTCTGAAGCGTAATTTCTATTATAATCTTCGTTGTATAGAAGAAGAAACCAAGGCACAGAGAGGTTAGGGAACTTGTTCCAGGTCACACAATTAGTAAGGTCAAGTCGGAATTCTAATCAAGGCAGATTGGCTCTTCATCACTATGTTATACTGGCAACTCATTCAAGGAACAATAATTAAGCACCTAGTGTATGCCAGGCATTGCACTTAGGAGTGAGGATAGAAAGAGAAATTAGAACCGACTAGTCCCTGCCCTCTCATGAACTGTAGTTAGTGAGGAAGGTGGTTGCTTAAAGAAATAATCACAACCTTGTGAAACACATGGACAAAGAGAACAGGTTAGTGGTTGCTGGAGGGGAATGGGGTTGGGGCGTGGGTGAAAGGGGTAAAGGGGCCCATATGTAGGGTGATGGGTAAAAATTAGATTATTGGTGGTGAGCACAATGCAGTCTATACAGAAACTGATAAATAGTAATGTACACCTGAAATTTCACAATGTTATAAACCAATATGACCTCAATAAAATAATTGGGGGGATAAAGAATCACAACCTTGTGATATGCACTATAGTGGAAAGAGGAGTAATACGCTGAGGAGTTACAGAGGAAGACATGTTTTACTCTGTTTAGAGAGTTCCAGTTTTCTAAATTTAACATCCTTCTCCCCTCCCCCTGAATATTCCTTATATGACATTGTTTCTAGACCTTTTACGCCTGCCTTCGCCCCATTCTAATTGTATTCTAGTATATAGAGTGTCTCTTAAGATATCGTGTCCAGAATTAACCATACTCAAGATGTGCCCAGCAAGACAGCACTGTTACCATCTGGATTCAGGCCGAGATTTCTAGTTTTCTGAGGGGCTGATGGGTTTACACCCTCTATCCAAATGAGGATCACTGCTTCATCGACTCACCGTTCCTCATGGCAGCAGTGTACCTCTCAGATGCATTTGGCCCGACAAAGGTTGAGAACTACTAATCCTCATCAGACTCTCTTATTAGATGTGCTTTAGATTTTTTAGCAGATGTCTTATGTTCGCCTCACGGTACACTTGTGGCCAGTTGACCTCAGATGCTTAACTATGGCCTGCTGACAAATGAGTGTTCTCCACCCTGCTCTTGAGCAACTGATTTTTTTTTTAGTGTCAATTTAGAATTTTATACTTATCCCAGCAAAATTTCATTTTATTCGATTTTTTATGTTTCTAGACCAAAAAGAGAGCTTGACTCATGTCTCAGTCTCTAATGTATTAGCTAAACTACATGTTTTCAGTGATCTGCAGTTTACATAAGCATGCTTTAAAAAATTTCCATCTAAATTGTTGGTAAGAATTTTGGATAGGGCCATGACTAATGCCTCATGGCGTGGTGCTGGAGAGCTTTCTGTTACATGTGATTGCTAACCCCCCTGCAGATCCACCAGTGCTGTCATCTGGCTCACCAGTGTCCACACACACACACACACACACACTTTTCAAAATGGAAATATCTGTATTTTCCTAGTAATAGAAGATCACTGGAAAGAATTTAAATGGCAAAAAGAATATGAAAATCTTCTCTAGGACACTTTCCCTTCTTGCCCACTCTAAGATAACCACTATTGACAATTTGATGAATAGTCTGCTAGACATTTCTAATGCCTGTGTGTTTGCATTTGTGTCTGAATTTGTTTTTTAATACAAATTAGATGATATGATACCCAGCTTGCTAGCTTTACTCAACTCATATGTAGTCATCTTGCTATGTCTCTATTCTTTTCTAAATGTTTGCAAATCATCTGTTCCATAATCAGTTCTAGAATTTGCCAAAAATCAACATCCTGCTCTTGAGCCTATAGTTCTTAAGCTAGCATTTGCTCATGATAGTAACTGTCAGTCCTCCAGAAGATGTTAAATTATCCTAAGTGTATTACAGATTGACAGGGAGGTGTTTTATCTATTCTGTCAAGATTAACATCCAGAAGGTTCAAAAAAGTTCTGAAACATTACAGGTGAGTTGTTCCAAAATAAAACATCATTTATGTGTAGGAAAAATAATGATAGCTCTATTATTGAGCTCAGACATATGCCAGGTGCTATGCTAAATAATGGACATGTAGCATGTCATTTAGTCTTTACTCCAATGTTAGGCATGTATTATTATATCCTTTACAGAAGAATAAACTGAAGCTCACAGTCCTGATATGATTATTTCCATGGTCACATGGCTAGTCAGTGGAAGGTCGTTTGTATTTCCAAAGCCCATGTTCTTTACCACTGTGTTCCACTGCCTCTCGGGTTCATTCTTTAGTAATGCTGTTTAAACTTGCATTTGATTTAGTGAATGTTTATTGAGTGCCTACTATGTGCCAGGAATTGTGCTTGCCTAGAGGTATGAAACTATGCAACCTGTCCAGTAAACTACAAGTTATTTATTACTGCCAAAACCTAGAATGCTTTGGGAGGTAGTAAATTCAATTAAATTTCGTGTCACTGTAACTCCATCTAACAGCTATGTTCTTTTTCTGCCACTTTTAATTAATTTTTTAATTTTATTAAAGCTTTTCTTTAAAATGTTTATTAAAACAGTATAACATTAAAGCATTTATAAAGTCACATATATTTTTATCCCCTTTATTTCTCCATGTTCCCTTCTTGACAGGTATTTAAATATTTACAAAGTTAGAATCATAATCCATGTGATTTTATGTTGTATTTTTTTCATGTAACTTTTTGTAAATGATTTCCTTTATCTTGAAAGTCTTGTTTATCACTTAAATGGCTGCATAATAAACTCCATCAAAATTGTGTCACTTTATCCTGTTCAATTAATATTAATTTAAGATTCTTATATGGTTCTCAGTAGTAAAGTTCATCTGCATTACCTTCCTGTTGTTGGTTCTCTGTAGAAGAAATGGGAAACTCTCCCTCGTTGGAAGGCCAATTGGAAAATCTTATCTGCAGTGTTGACAAAATTTAGTGTACCTGAGTGGTAGGCAGCCCCTCTGGTCTTTTTCATTTCCTTGGACTATGCTTGGAGACAGGGCTATTACCACCAGGGTATAGGTACATTCTGTAGTTCTTTGGACGTCTAAATTGGTGTAGACAGGTTTATTGACCTTGACTCTACGGCTTTCAGATAGTTGGCATCTGGATATTTTTATGTTCTTAGATTTATTTGTGACCTTTTATTTTAGAATGGATTCTTTCTTCTTGGCTGAAATGTTTAAATATCTTTACCTGTTATTTGCGGATAAAGAAGATATTATTTTTGACATAGAAGATTACATCTTTACGACAGAAGCTCATCTGTTACCTCTTTGGCTTTCTACTACAAATCAGAGCATCTCTAAGAAGAACATAGTAGGTTATGTTTTTTGAATTAAATGTCTTATTCTCTTTTTTCCTTCTATGTGTTTGTTTTATTTTTCCAAGTGAAAAATAATCCATGACTAGGATTCAATAAACATAGGGTGGTAGGAAGAAAAGTTACACTCGATGTTTTCTTATTTTATGTTCTTTTATTGCATTCTATAACACATTTCATTTACTGTTTCCTTTGAACAAACTATGATGTTAATAAAGTAATAGTTTTTATTTACATAACATTCTTTTATATTGTAGACTTCAGAGTATACAGAACTGGATGACAGTAATTTTGATTGGACTTGTCCAAATACTCAGATTCTCTTCCCTAATGACCCGCTGTATGCTCAGAGCATTCGTGAACCCTTGAAAAATGTTGTGGATAAGAGCTGTCCTAGAGGCATCATCAGAGTGTAAGATTCTTATTTTATTTTTAATATCAAAGTTAATTCTTAGTAAATGACAGAGAATGTAAGGAACATTTAACAGCCAAGAAGACATTCACTTAGACCAAAAATATTGAGATATGTAGTTATCACTTATTAAAATAAAAATTATTGGTTAGTAAAGTTGGCTAAGTTTATTCTGCAGTAACGTCTTTATTATTATGGAAATTTTCTATGTATCTTTTGTTTAATGAACTAAGTAATAATAGTCAATGGGCATCATATAATAGTTTTTTAACTTCTCTAGCTCATTTTTACACAGAATAGTTTCATCAAATATTTCCACGTCTTATATAGGTAGAAAATATTTTTCCTTTTATCAGTAGTTTCTGTATAGTAAAAATAGAGTTCTTTGTTTTGATTTTATTTTTTGCCAAGGTACTTATTCTTAGTTGTTAAATAAATTTTTTTGCCTTAATGAGTTCATTTTCTTCCAAATACTTATTTGAGAAAGGCCATTACTAGGAAATAAAAAAAAAATTTTTTTAAGTGACTGTTATCATTCACTGATATAAGTACTGTTTTGCTTTTACAATATTGGGAGAAAAATCTGTTTTGCAAGAAAGAAATCAGTAGTGACAAATCCCCACACCTACCTGTTCTGTACTTTCAAATAGTTGTAATGCTATAGACTAATACTGCCTTATAGATAATATATTTTGTAACTATATAATATAATGTAATTTTGTAACTGTAAAATATTGTATTTGAAAGCTATACTGCTTATCAATAACCTAAGTTATATGTAGGCAAATAACTATTTCTAGTTATTTCATTTTCACTAGTTCTAAAACTAGCAGTTTTGCAAATATCTAACATTATTTTTATTTGCCTTATGTTTTTCCCCAGTTCTGACTTGTAGTTTTTTAAGCCTTGCCTATAATTACTTTTAGCAGAGAGGAGAGTTTCAGGAGTGGAGCGAAACCCCCTCTGAGAGCCAGAGATTTCATGGCGACTAACCCTGAGCATTTAGAAATCTTGAAGAAGATGGGGGTGAGTTTGATTCACCTCAAAGATGGGAGAGTCCAGTTGGTTCAACATGCAATCCAAGTAAGACATTGCTGTACTAATTAGATGCCATCTCTGCCCTTTGTGGTCTCATTAGCTTTAATAAGATAATGATATTGGCTTTTTAAAAACTTTTCGTGTATAGTTGAAAGTTAGAGAATCAGAATTTTAGGATTTAGAAGTATCTTGGAAAGCCATCTAATTCAACCTCTTCATAGTATAAATCAATTACATCACAAATAGGTTGGGTAATTTGCTTAAGTTAATATAGTCAAATGTAAGACTTAAATCCAAGTTTTCTGTTTTTCAGTCCCTTTCTTTCCACTATTTTGTTTAAAGTGTAATCTTAAAAGCTGATAATTCATTTTAATATTTATATCTCTATATTTTACATTATTTCAGTTAACAAAGAGTGACTGGATCTAAGTAGTTCATTCATTATAGAAATCAAAATTTGCATTTATTGGTCTATGCCTAGGAAAGATAACATGCCCTTTTGGGAAATTTTTATTGATTTTTGCCTTAAAAGTGTTCATAACATGAAGCCTTTAAATTATTCACCTTATTAATACATTAATTGAGAAAACTGCATAGTTTGCTAAATAATTTCAACCTAGAACCATATTCAGCTATCCCTTAATCTCAAATTCAACCTTTCTACAACCTCACCTTCCCCTCAGATTTCTGTCTCATCTCTATTCTTGTCATATCCATCCTTCCTTAAAGAGTATTCTGCCTGCTTCCTTATGTGTCACTCGCCCTTGCTCCCCAGTAGTGGGAGTGGCATCTCTAATGACATAGCTTTCATTTAGGTCACCAATGATATAATTGCTACCCAGTGACCTCTCAATCCTTATATGATTGAACTTTTCTGTACTGTTGACTGACCCCTTTTTAAAACATATTCCTTTCTTGGCTTCTGGGGCATTCCAGCAACATACATCTTTCTACTTCTCTGTTCATTGTTTTGTAGATTCCGTTGTAGCTCTCCTTTTTGGTCACAACCGCTCCATGTAGGCACTACCGAAGAATCTGGATCATACTCTTTTCTCTCTATACTCTTCTTCAGCAGTCTCATCTATTGCTACAAGCTTAGCTATCATCTTTTGTACACGTGATTTCTTAGATATACATATGTAACCCTAATTCCTAATTTTACTCTTAAACCCAACTGTAATCCGCTTGTCATACATTTCTGCATCTCAATCTCAATCTGTCCGAACCTGAATTAATTATCTCTTCAATCCATCTCTCCTCCTTTTTGTTCTCCATCTCAGTAAACCCTATCATCAGTCTCTCTCTATCCTCTAACTTTTATCAAGTCCCATTGACTTTTTCTGTAAAGTGTCACGAATCCATCTTTTTTCCTACTATAGTCAAGCATTCTTCAGTTTTTCCTCTGTTAAGACTCAATTCAAATGTCATTCTAAATATTTCCCAGATCCACACTGGCAGGATGACAAGAGACATTCCCTTGTCTATGCTCCAAGTCCACTTTCCCACTTGAGAAATTTTATCATAGCTAGTTTTACATGTCTCTCTCCTCCAGATACAAACTTCTTAAAGTAAAAGACGGTCTCCCCAGTGCCTAGATAAGTGCTGGGATCGAATAGGTGCCTGATACATGTTTTGAATTAAATCTGGTTATTGGTTCATAATTTCAAAGAAGGAAAATGTGGGTCACATAGAAGGTTTATTTCTTAGAAGGGAAACTGGAGGAAACAGAGCAAGCATTTGAGCATTTGGTGGAAGTCTAATTCATAATTCGTATCAACAGTAGTTTATAGAATAGGGAAAGAGAGATTGATAAAAATTACAGATGTTATTTTAGAAAATATTTCCAGAAGTAATATTTTTGAGGACAAATAAGACCATAAATATTTGGTAGGAACCTAAACTGAAAGTAGAAATTTTAGAGTAGAAGACTATAGTGCAATAGTATTTAAGAAGTCAAAAAAGTTGCAAGTTTCCGGAAAGAAAGGATAAAATTAATCTGTTTCTTTCCTAGGCTGCTAGTTCAATTGACGCTGAAGATGGGTTGAGGTTCATGCAGGAGATGATTGAACTGTCAAGTCAACAACAAAAAGAACAGCAGCTACCTCCACGAGCTGTACAGATTGTTTCCCACCCATTTTTTGGCAGGGTAGTGTTGACTGCTGGACCAGCTCAGTTTGGGCTAGATCTGTCTAAACATAAAGAGGTATGTACACTTAAAATATGTTTGTTAAAAATGGTTCCCAGCTGTTGTAAGTGTGGGTTTGGGTATCTAGTGAATCTGTCTACAGGTTCTAACTTTACCACTTACTGACATTGTATCTTTTGAGAAAATTATGTAACCTGAGCCTCAGTTTCCTCATTTGTGAAATGGAAATATTATCTGTACTATTTCACTGAGTCGTTATAAAGATCAGATTTAGTAGTTTATGTTAAAATGCTTTATAAACTGCAAAGCACAATAGAAATGGTTGGGTACTATGGTTTACAAAATGTTCAAAACAAAAATTTATGCTAAAAATACATATGTTATCATTAGAAAAGAAATGAGGTCTACTTAAAGCTCTAGATATTGAATTTTAATGACTAGATAGTGATTTGAGAAGATAAAAGAATAATTAAGCTACTTGTATTTCCGACAGACAAGAGGATTTGTTGCAAGCAGTAAACCATACAATGGTTGTTCAGAGCTCACTAACCCTGAGGCAGTGATGGGAAAAATCGCTTTGATACAAAGAGGACAGTGCATGTTTGCAGAGAAGGCACGCAATATCCAGAACGCTGGAGCAATTGGTGGCATTGTTATTGGTAAGTAATCCTCAGCCTCATTGTGTTGACTGGGAAGAGATAATTTTTAGGATTTTTTCTTCTATTTTCCAAAATTTTATCAAGGAGTTTGTTATATTATTTTTACTTCACTAGACAGCATAATGGATAGGTAATCCAATGACTCTCTCTCCTTTTTTTTTTTTTTGGTGAGGAAGATTGGCTCTGAGCTAACGTCTTTTGCCAGTTTTCCTCTTTTCTTTTTTGCGCTTGAGGAAGATTGGCCCTGAGCTAACATCTGTGCCAGTCTTCCTCTATTTTGTATGTGGGACGCCGCCACAGCATGGCTTGATGAGCGGTGCTTGGTCCGCACCCAGAATCCAAACCTGCAAACCCAGTGACTCTCTTAATAATTTCTGTATATTTCATATCTTTTTGGAAAGTCTAGATTTGAGTTTCTGTATATTAATGCCAGTAAAAGTACTTGGGGTCAGGTGTGAAGGTGAAATAGGGGTGAGTGGTAAAAACACCTAGTACTGTGGATAAGAAAATGTACCCATGAGATCCATAGCCCCCTAAGGGCAAGAATAACGCCCCACCACCACCAGTGGGGAGCCATTCCTCCACAGAGATGCAGGCTTTGGAGTCAGACACATGGGGGTGCAGCTCCTGGCTGTCCCACAAAATCACACGGTAACCTTGGCCCAGCTGTAGTTTCTTTATACGTTTATTTAGTAGAATATTTTTTGCGCTTCAATGAAAATGATAATAAATATCTTTTAGGTGGTTGTAAGGTTTGATAATTCCTTTTATAGCTGATGTATCAGGTATAAGCGCTAGTTGCTCGCAAATTTTTATCTCCGTGGGTCTTTTACCACTGAAATCACAAATTATCAACTTCAAATCATTTTACCTATGTCTTTCAACCCGTGGGTTTTGTTTTTCTATTTCTTACAGAAAATCACTTATATCATGACAAGCAGGCCAGGACTATCAGGAAAAATATAAATTTTTCTATGCTTAAAGTAAATAGAAGTTTACATTCAGAAGGAACTAGAAGACCTGAGGTCACACCCTAATTGTGAAGTTAGTCCTTCTGTATAACTTCTTTCACAGGAGAAATCCATTTTGGATTTTTTTTTCTAATTAGGATAGAATTCCTTTCTGAATTCAGGGTAAATAAAAATTAAAGCATTTAAAATACTAAGATTAATTTCAGTGAAAAATTATTTACTGTTCCTTTTGCTTATCCCATATGGGCACTCCAATGTTGATATAATGAATACACAAATTAGGAGAAATTCTCCTTAATAACTTAAATCAGCAGTTGGCAAACTATAGCCTGCAGGCCAAATCCAGCTCGCTGCCTGTTTTTTGTAAATAAAAGTTCTATTGGAACTCAGCCATGCCAATTTTTTTTTTTTTTATAATTCTATTTATTTATTTTTTCCCCCAAAGCCCCAGTAGATAGTTGTATGTCATAGTTGCACATCCTTCCAGCTGCTGCACGTGGGACACGGCCCCAGCACGGCCGGAGAAGCGGTACATCGGTGCGTGCCCAGGACCCGAACCCGGGCCACCAGCAGCGGAGCGTGCGCACTTAACCTCTAAACCACGGGGCCGGCCCAGCCATGCCAATTTGCTTATATATTGTCTATGACTGCTTTCGAGCTACAAGGGTGGTGTTGATTAGTTGCAACAGAGAACTTCAAAACCTAAAGTATTCACTATGTGGGCAATTAGAGAAAAAGTTTGCCGACGCCTGACTTAAATCATCTCTTTGTCCTTGGTTATTTTCCACACTGAGATTATTTTTATAAGAATTTAATACCTTGCCATCACCATCATTTTGAACATCTCTTAATGAGACTTTAAAAATATAAAATATAATAAAGTCTGGAACATGTGGAGTATTTTAGATTTTCCCTGTTTTTTGGTGAAATCTAATTCTCATGGTATTCTATACTCTGTACGGTTTGTCAAATCAGATGTTTTCTTTAGTAGCTATTTGTTACAGAATCCTATACTGAGTTCTATGGGAAAATAAGGGGCAATGATCCTTATTCTTAGAAAATTTAATTTTTAAAGAGAAACTTTCTTGTCTTGTAACTTCTTTCCTCTAAGTTTTGTTTCTGAGGAAGCATTTTATTTGGTTTTTACTGATTTTAATTTTATATAAATGAGCAAATTAGGACTTAGTTGTTTTTTATCACAAGTACTAGAAGTACAAGTTATCTTAGAAATCATTTGGCTGCAAGAGACAGTAATTTATTTAAGCTGGTTTAAGAAGGGAGGTTTGTTTGCTATATGGAAATAGATTATTTTCATGGAACCCAAGAGTAAGAAATACAACTGAGTGCTCTAAGGAAGTGGACATGGGATCTGAAAATCATTTGGAACCGTGATTGCTAGTATTTTTCACATCTCTCTGTCTCTATCTCTGGGTCCTCCTGGACTCTCGTCTCTGCATCTGTTTGCAATTCTGCTTCATTCTCCAGCTTCTTACCAGCCTGCTCCCTCTTTGCTCATCAGTTCCAAAATGGCCATTCTAAAATTGCAGCCTCAGCCATGAGTCTGTGTCACTTAACTGGACCACTACCCACTGCTAACTGGAACAGTCTTTTGTGTGCCACTTCCAGGTCTCCCAGAGAGACTGAGGGTCAGGTAGCCATCCTTCATCTGATCATTTGTCTTAGTTATTGCTAAGAAAGTGGGTCCTACATGGTATTCTCTACTTGGCAGGGCCTATCAGAGCAAGCTCTCCGAGAAGGGACAGGCAGGTTCTCCAGGGAGACTGGCATGTGAGATTAGGGGTGGACATGACTGGCGTTGCCAGTAAAACCGTATTTAGCAATCCTGCTACTATTCTTTAACCCGTGTAAAATAACGATAGTGTTTAATTAAACTTATAGAGGAAAAGCCAGTATAGTCATAATTATTCTTTGTGAACGGTATATAAAAAAGTATCAATTTGTAGTTTGGTGAAACGATATGGTGCCATTAGAGGAAATCTTAAACAATAAAATTTCATTCATAGTTCTATCATAGTAATCCAAGTCTGAATTTTTTTGTGTCTAGGCTTTTTCAGAAGCATATGAAATTTTTACAGTCATAATCATAGAGTTTTGTGTTCTGCTTTTTTCACATAACATTCTGTTTTTCTGTGCATTCTATCAAGTAGTTCATTATAATTTACTTATAATAGTTCAGAGTTGTTCACAATTATAAATAGCACTCTAGTAAACTTCTTTGGGCATTGATTACTTTGCTTCTTTTGAATTATTTCCTTAGGACAAATTTCTAGGAGTAGAATTAGTGGGCCCAAAAGGTATATTTGTTTTTACAATTCTTGATGCATAAACTTATTGCTGCCAACAGGTAAAGAACAGTCAAGATTGGTAGCTAGACCTTTTGAAATGAACGAATGTGTTTATGTTTGCTGTATTCGTTCTCTGGCTAGATGACAACGAGGGGAGCAGCAGTGACACTGCCCCTCTGTTCCAGATGGCAGGTGACGGGAAGGACACTGATGACATCAAGATCCCCATGCTGTTCTTATTCAGTAAAGAAGGAAGTATCATACTGGATGCCATCCGGGAATATGAGGAGGTAGAAGTGCTCCTTTCTGACAAAGCAAAAGATCGAGGTAAGGGTAAAAAATCTTTTGTTTTTTATGCAGCTTAGCATTAATTTTACTAGCTTGATAGCAAAAATGAGTTACAAAATTTATTTTTGGGTCACTGGCAAAATAAGGAAAATTTTAGATGGTTTCAAAATATATTTTTCTTTTGGAAATAAGAGTAGTAAAACTTTTATTATGCTTTTTTTGCTGAGTTAGGATGTTTTTAGAATTAGATTTTTATATGTAATTTATAATTTTTACTATGATTCTGACCAGTGATAAAAATATAAGAGATTACATCAAGAGAGAAATTTTAACATCCACAGATGTTCACCATTCAATTTCACTGATACTACATCTTACATTTCTTTTATAAGAAATAAAGAGAGATTGCATAGAATGATATCGTATACACAAAATAGTAGTTGGATTTCACCAGGCCACCTATAATCAAATGACCACTGTCTTGGTGAAGGCAGTACAAATCTAGCAGTTTTTCGCCAGTGAGATCTAAGTTGATCACATAGGTATTTATAAATTACAAGAGTTACAAATGGCCAGTGGCTAAAGAACAAGATAACATGTCTTAATTCATGAGAGTTTATAGTTCTCTCTAGGCCAAAATGTTTGTTAGTAATTTGAAAGCTCTTTGAAACCCAAATTACTGTATAAGTGAAAGGTCTAAGTAGAATTCTTTTAGTTTCACACCAAGGGATAGGGGAGAAATGAGGGAAAGTGAATCATCAGACACTGACTGTGATCCTGCTGGTGGTAGCAGTCCTTCCTATCTGCTGGAGACACCTAGAGAGATAGCTGTACTCCTCCCATCCCCCTTAAATGGATAAAGTTGTATAATCTGTACAGGGTTGTTGAATCCCCTGGGATGTTTGTTTGACAGATATGGAGGAAACTGATTCAATTCAGTATAACTTCCAAGTGAAACAATAAAAAAATGGTTTATGATACTCTAGTGCAAGCCAAATCAGTGTTTTGTCTTGTCTTCTTGTATTGCCTTATTCTTCTTTGAGATTCTTTCAAATGTCAACTATTTAAGAGCAGTGCAGTGAGTAAGATGTATGTATGTGAGGGTGTATAGATGGAAACAGAATAGAAAGGATTTCTAATCTTCTTAGATCCTCCTATATACCTGATTTTTTTTCTGGGCCCTTTTCCTACACCCTGATCTTCTTTCCTACATATATGCATTTAGGCACATCAAACAGGCAAATTATTATTCCATATAACTCTTTAATGCCTTTGCTTTTTTCCCCCTATTTTGTGCTACCATTGGAATTTCAGCAGCAATATTAAAAGGTAAAATGATTCCAAGCTACATTATTAATAGTAGTAAGTATCTTGCATTAATAAGCTTTAAATTATATATATGTATATATGTATGTGTGTATGTGTATATATACACCCACATGCAGACACATATATATGTATATATAATTTTGTTTCAGTGGAAACCATGATAATATCTAGTTCATTTACATGTTTAGTCAGCTGTCCCATAATAATAATTCTTTATTGATCCTGTCATAACAAATCCTATGAATTAAATATCCCGTATAATAGATGAATTCACCAGTCCGTGTCCATGCAAGAGTCACTCTAACAAAGACGTTGTTGTTTTGGCATGTGTTACTTTTGATCACTTTTTATTTGAATACAATGTAAAATATTTAAAATATCAGCTTGTTTTAAAAACTCATATGTGTGTAGGGGTACATGGTGTTAGGACTGAGATTATGATAAAGCATGTGCTTCCCATTGGTGGTCTAGTGGTTAAGATTCAGCGCTTTCATTGCCGTGGCCCAAATTTGGTTCAGCACCCGTCTGTCGGTTGTCATACTGTGGTGGCTGCGTGTTGCTGTGATGCTGAAAGCTGTGCCACTGGTATTTCAAATACCAGCAGGGTCACCCACGGTGGACAGGTTTCAGTGGAGCTTCCAGACTAAGACAGACTAGGAAGAAGGACCTGACCACCCACTTCCGAAAAATTGGCCATGAAAACCTTGTGAATAGCAGCGGAGCATGGTCTGATATAGCACCGGAAGGTGAGAGGATGGCACAAAAAGACTGGGCAGGGTTCCGCTCTGCTGTACGCAGGGCTGCTAGGAGTCGGGATTGACTCGATGGCACTAACAACAACAATGTGCTTCCCATACCAGAGAAAGGATATGAGAAAAGATAAATTCTACTACTACAAAAAACAATTATCTTAACAGTATTCTCTTAAGGACCTTGCAGTAAAAAGGCTTTATTTAAATTATATTTTTAAAAACTTTTTGATAGCCTATAAATTTATTGACCTGTGATTCTATTATAGAGTGATCTTTTGACAAAAAGTCCTAGAAAACTCCGCTTTTTGTGTGGCTCTTTCAAGAACTGTACAGCTATATTAACTAAATCAGCAACAAGTTCTGGTATGATTGTTACTATTTATCAATGTGACAAAAATCAATGATAATAGTTTTATTAAATCAACTACTTTATTCACTTAGGAAGATATCCTAAGAAGTTAATGTCTATAGTGGTTATCATTAGTTTGTCCTGTGCCATTACTGCATGCATCAGTGTTTCTCTTCTGCATCAGAATCAGCTGATGTACTTGTTAAAAGTGTGGATTCCTGAGTCCTACTCCAGAATATTGAACCAGACTCTCTGAAGGATCAGAATCTGAAATTTTAAACAACATCCCAGGTAATTGATCAGCTGCACTTTGAGAAACACTGAACAAGACTAAGAAGGCAGCCCATTTTATCTCCCAGCTACGTATCTGGCCATATTGTACCATCAAGTGTCCTAGGTCGGATTACATAAGAACACCAAATAATAGCATCCTTAAAATCTGAACAATAAAATGTCCTCCAGATTGCCCTTTCTAAAAACCTCATTCCACAAACACATTTCCCTCATAGTCACACGATTTTGATTGAGCAATTCTTCCCACATATTAATACAGAAAATAAAAGCCCAGAACAAGCCCCACTCCCACTTCCGCCTTCTTATTCTGATACGTCCCAGGCAGTAATGTAGAAATATCTGCAACAGTCTATCTGCTAGCAAAAACGTTCAGGGATCTGATTACACATTCTTCTTCAGAAGTAAAGCATTAGTAATGTATCCAGTGGAAGTGTTGCTTCCTTATGTCAAACCAGTCCTACTTCTGAAAGTGATATCCACACAAGTTATAATGTCATGTCCCTCACGTGTCCCCATCTTTCCAGAATTTCAAGAGTTTTCAAAGGTACTTAGTAATAATGCCAACCGTGTGCCCACGAACAAAAGACACTGGGTTGTTACCTTTAGATCCAAATTGAAATAGTTTACAATTACGTATCAATTTCCTTTTCTCGTTAGTATTTCTCAAGGGAAAAAAAAATCAGCATTTTAAAGGTTCAGTACATCATCATGCTTGCAATTTACGGTGTAGGCCTGTAGTGCCTTAAGAGCTGTAGCAGATGTTTTCAGGGCTACTCATATATTTGTGTCTATCTATTGAAGAGGCGGACAGAGAAAATGAGAGAAAGAAAAGAAAGGTCCCAGGGTTTGAACTCAAGACTGTTGAGTGAACTCAACACTGCCAGAAGTCTGGCAGTGTTACTTTTCCTCAGACTATCCCCACTGAACTTGAGTGGGATGAATTTGTCTTAAAGTTGAACTGTAGAACCTAGGTTGCTGTTGGAAACGATTTGATTCTGAGGAGAAAAATCTAGTATGCATGGAGATGGCCTCTTTGCCTGGAAAGGAGCATCTGAAACATTCTGGTTGCAGAATTGATACCTACGGCCACTTGTCTAACCTTGGCATGTTTTCTCATGCATTTTTGCATTTACACGTCTCTTCCCTCTTTCTAGAAATGCCTCATCAATCTCTATCCTCAATCCCCTGGCCTTTTTCCTTTTTGAGAACATTTAGCTATCCTGAATACCCAGTTTAGATGCCACCTTCAGGAAATTTTCTCTTATTCTCATAAAAATTTAAGGACATCTTTTTAATATAGTTCTACTTTGACATTTATATCACATTATACTTCTTTGCTTGCTTCTCATCTCAGTAAATGCTGATTGTACAGATAAATGAATGATTGTAGAACTGCTCGTCTCTAAGTCTTTGCCAAAGTTCCTTTGTCCTTTTATTATTAAAATTTAATCATTTTATTTGTATCTTGAGATTTTCTCCATCCTTTTTTTTTTGCTTCCAGTGTTTCTTATACACCATTCCTGAACTTAATGATGTAGTTATTATGCTCTTGGGACTATGATACTGCATACTGGTGACAGCAGGCACCTTAGAATGAAGATGTGTGGCAGTGTGGCAGACACTAACTCCTTCCTTCCTTTTTGTTACTTCTCCAACTGCCATTTTTACTTTCTTGATTGGGGCCTCCTTGCTGTAAATCAGATATTCCTATGTATTTGATCTATTCTGGACTTGCTCTTCTCTTCCACTAATCTATTTGTTTATTCCCATGCCAATAATAAAACAGTTTGCTATTCTGAATAAATTTTAGTATCTGATAAGGCAACTCTCCTCTTGCTAATTCTTTTTGGAATTTCTTGACTTCTCTTGGATGTATATTCTTCCATAGGAATTTTTTTTTTTTTTAAAG